AGAGTAAAAATAACCATCCACAGGTCCATCTTGATATTTGTATGGTAACGAGATAAGTGAAAGAGCTCATACCTCATCAAATCGGGCTTATTTATGGAGAGAGTATAAGAAGAATACCAAATATCTAGAATGTATAAGATATTTTGTTTTGCCAGGGTGGGACTGCGTGAGCTGCATATACTGTACAGAATACTGGCCCACACCTGTGCTTTGCTTAACTTTCATTACAATTTCATGATTATGCGTCATATAAATCTCATCATATCAAATTATAATAGAACATAAAACATGGAGAATGTTGAAACAGAGGTAAAGTGAGCTAAATGTGTTGAAAAGAGATTAAAAAACCTGCAGGAACTCGTTATAACTATTTAGACCGACTTTGAACAGGGCACTTCAAGATGTCACTATTTGTGAACTCAGTTGCTATCACAACTATAATCTTTTGTTTTCAAATATGGGTTTAAGTTATTTTGTGTAAGGAGAAATCCAAGTGTGAACATGACATGGTGTTAAAACATTGCTGTTCACTCTGGCCCAAAACTCATTTACAGTGGACAAGGGGAAAATAATAAAAAAAACTATTCTGTGGTCAGAAACATTTCAAGCAAAGTTTTGTAGTTGTGGGAATCCATACTTCTTTTTGTGTAATAACAGATACACAGATGTAATGGCTTTTTTTTAGCTTTATTTTCCAAAAAGCTGGAACTCCTATTGTATGAAGATGCTTGGTTGCCGATAGAACTGGCATATTTAGTTTTTTAGAGAAGATTAAAAAAGATTCTGAGACAGCCTTGCATATTTCAACAAGCTGACACTAAGCGACATGCTGCGTCTATTAGTACAGCATACAAGAAAATAACAGCAGTTTAGGAATATATTATAATATAGTATATTCAAAATCTACACAACCATAGATTGAGACTTACAACATAGTGGACAAATATACATATTACATGTGTTCTGGTGAGCCTTGACTGGATGAGACTTATCTGCATTTCTGTCTTTATTGAAAATTAAATCCATACACACAATTATATACTGTATGTGTATTAATAAGAAAATTGCTTGTTTTAAAATGTAACTTTCACAATAACATGTTATGTTGAGCTTATATAACATGTATGACATACCTTCACAGCACAGGGCCACTTCACTTCACTTACAGCTTACTGTTGTATGGTCTTTTTTTTCAAATAAAGCAGTATATGTCAATGAGCCCATGAGTCTTAACAGGAGGATCACAAAGTTAAGTTTGATCTTGCCTTAGAAAGAAAAAAATATTCAAATTTTTCCACGGCTGGAGGCAATTTTATAGTTTGTATCCTCTGCTATCAGATAGTGAGACAAGAGGAGGGTGCAGGTGTCTGACGACTCTCCTTGAATGAAAATGAAATTAATGGAAAGCAGGTGGGTACTTCAAAGGCTGAATGCTCCAGCACTATGACCAAATGTGCATGCAATCGCCAACCTCAGCTGTTGTGTCTCCAACTTAGTGAAGAGGAAGTTATTATTATGAATGGAAATGATTAGTTAATATAAGAAACACTGTGTGTGAAGTTAAAAGATAAAGGATGTGATGTTCTCCTTGGGAGCCCACAATTATTACAAGGTCGCTCAAAGTACAGATTCACTTTGTGGCTGAGCATTGTTGCCATGTCTTTATTAGCTTTTTATTTCAGAGCTATTGGGCTTTAAGCGACTGAGCTAGATGGGTGCCATAATACTCCACTGCAGGCCTACTTTCAGTGTTCTAATAAAACCTATTTTATGGCAGCAATCTTTAAACAATTTTACTGACCTATTTTAACACCTGCGTTACCGATCAAATCAATACTACTAAACAATAAAGGCACAGCATTCTTTAATGTTTGGGTATGATAATAAAAATCCCCAACATGACCCAGAAATTGTTTGGATATATTCCACAGAAAATGCAGTTGCAGCAGTCTTTTATGTTTCCTGGCAGATTACAGATGGAAAGGAAAGCTGCAGGACAGTAAAATGCTGAATGTGTCAAATTCTTTGGTGCCTTCAGGAAGCGGTTTATCATCGCCTCCGACATTAAATACATGATATTGGGCATGACATAAGTCCTGCTTCTTAACATCTGTGCTAAAACATCACTGCACGGTTCATTTCTAAGTCCTTAAAAGAAATGCTGGGCAGGTTAAAGCATGGGAAACTATTCTGCACCTTGTACCTTGTAACAGCTGACAGCTGGAAGGTTACATTTTTTATTTAATTTCTTTCCCCATAAAAATGACATTTCTTTCTCATGTGACCTTGTGTTTCTCATATTAAGTTCACTACTGGGGGCAGCCAACTCTAAAACATAATGATGCTTTCCTTATGAAAAAATAACAGAATGTTTGTTAGTTTGATAAAAATGCTACATTTAAACCATATATTTGTAAACTGTATGTAGGTAAATACATGGTAGGCTTGAACTGTCTACTGTATAGGAACATTAAGGCAGGTAATAATAAACTAAATAGTGCTGCCGTGGCTCTTGCCAGAGAGAAGCTACAGCTATTCTAAAATATGAATTCATGACATCTCACACACCCATACTGAACACTTCAACACAAAACATCTTTACAACCATCAGCTCCAACATAAGCAGACAAGTTTATTATCACCAATTCCTCAATTGCTGAAATGTGTTCACAATATGTTCCTGACTTGTGCCATTCCAAAGTGTTTTTAAAAAAGTAATTTTGCAGCACCTAATGATATTGAGGTTGATCTGTTACTTCTTTTTTAATTTACCCATTAAGCATCAAAATGGATTTGTGCTGTAATTAGGGTGTGATTGAATTCTCGAGATGCTGTCAAACATGTCAAATTTGATGAAGAATTTGTTCTTTCTCAAGTACAGGGGGTTGTTTTGCATAATGGGAAGGAATTACCACACTGTGTTCCTTTTATGAGATTTGAATAAGCAACCTGAGAGAAGGAAGCTTCCCAACCACTGCATATACACACCAACATGTTTTGTACCAACACATTAGTAAGCTTCTGACTATCTACACACACTGACAGAGATGATGAAGCTATGCTTATGTCCCATACTCTGATTCTGTACAGCTAAATGCTTCTCACCGTGGGATGCCTACTCCTTTGGCTCACCTCCTGTGCTGCATCATCACTGACATCAATGCTTTTTTTCCCCTTACTTCACAGGATACATGCTGTTTCCTGCAGACACCAGACGCACAGCAGTCACACAAAAACAACCAAGCCTGCTTCCAAACTTAACTTAATCTCTCTGGAATGTTTCAGTGACAGACTTTCAAGGCACCGAGGCTCTCTACTGATCTGCCTCCTTAAAGCAGTGATTTCTGTCTCCAAAGAATATCCCCTGGGATCAATCTGTAATTAAGAGGAAAAAGCACTGTTTTAGCTTTATAAAAACATGGCAAGCCTTAAAAACAAGGTTTATGTAAGGCAGAAAGTATTTCTGCTTTAGAAAGAACTGAACAAAGTGGGACAGTGTAAACCCAGAAATGTTGACACTATCTTTTCATTAGGTTTTTTGCTATTTTGTAGCAGAATCCCTTCAAATGACTAAAAGCTAAAAGACCAAACTAAACTCCAAGAGTCTCCAAGATAATGACCTACCATGTCCCCCCCCAAAAAAAAAATCTCCAACAAGATTTGTCCCAAATTTGCATGAGCTCCACAATTTAGTTGTTTCTCTTATATCTGATGTTACGAGGCATTCCAACAGCAGAATATGAGTTAAAAGCAATATAAAGTAGTTCAGGAGAAAATGTTAGACTTGGTCATAAATGTGCAATGCTTTACAAATGAGTCAGTGTATGAGAGTATGATGTAACACTCAGCATCAAATGTCCTATTCAGTACATACAGCTCTGGTATCATATCCCAAATGAAACATTGCTGCATACTCATAGATCACTGTTTTCATGTTGCGGCTCCTCTTTGTAACACATATGCTTCACAGATACAAGAAACACATGGTTGTTTTTCTGAGTCCAGTTTCAGGCAAGCAAAGTGAGTATTTAATTCTACAGCCCTGAAAGAATGTTGTCCTTTCTTTGCTCTGTGGCATACTGTGGCCACTGCCCCTCTGAGCCAAGCCAAGAAAAATACAGACAAACTGCTGACTTTGATAACAGCAGGAAATCTGATTCTCTCTGCATCCATCCTATTCATTTAAGCATCTGCGTCTTGACCGAGCAGTTTTAAAATCCCCCAGGTGCATGTGTTTTCTAATGACTTGTCTCTTTGAACATTCGGGTAAATGAGGGATTTTAGGGTGCAACAGTGCTTTAAAAGTACTCACAAATGACAACACAAACACACTGCCCTCTCAGGCTATGGAGCTCGGCATGTACTGTATGCTTGTCTTTTGTTCATTCAGTATACTACAAGTAGGGGGGGAACGAGGGGTGGAGAGCAGAGTTGTGTGTGCATGTCTGTGTGTGCTTTTTTGAAAGGAGGGTTTTGAACTCTGTGCTAATTGACCTCAGCTTTAGATTTCTCAGGGTGGAGTATAAATACTCAATGCATAAAGAGAGAATAGTGTTTAAGAGGTGGCATGGTGTCTTTTTAAAGATGAATTCTTTTTCATACATATTACATGTCCTGGTGTTATGTATACCATCTATAGGACCAGATTTAAAACATTTGATTCTTTATTTCAAGGACCCCAACAATGATTAATTTCCTTGAGTTGTCCCGGCTACCAATTAGACCTAAACAGACTGACAACGTGACAAGTATTTGAAACACCTGTTGAAACATTGAGATCGCTGTTTTTTCCTGTTTGGCAAAAGCTGAGAAAAGTAATTGAGATGGGTTGTATGGTGTCTGAATACCTTTGCAAATAGTAATGTTGACTCTGGAAACCTCACGGAGCTTTGGCAGCAGCAGGCCAGGAAACATCACTAGCACTAGGGCCATGTGGGACCTTTCCTTTCAAAAAGAAAAAAAAGTTAGAGATTTTTTCACAGCCCATTGTAAGCAATCAGGGAAATAGAAGCTTGCAGTTGTGCAGTGAACAGGCACTTCTTTCCAGAGGGCAGGGAGCAATGCTTAGTCCACTGACGGGCAAGCCAGCAGACGGACGCCAAATCAGGACACACTTCCACGGCACCAGCACAGGCTTGACCACCACTGGTCTTCTGAAGCCTGCATCTACCCGCCCGCGTGTGACTGCTCCTGAATGCACATTCAAGCTCCTTGACTGCTGCCAGTGAAGAGCTGCAGATGCACTCAACCACAGGCTTACTCTGCAATCCTGCATCTGTCTCAACACCAAAGCTGTACCTGCGGGAAGAGGATACACATGTTTTATTGACAGAACCACAGGTGGTTTGATCTTGAACTACTGGTGGACTTGAATTTTTTTTTTTTTCTCTTTGGGGGGAACTGCTGCGTCTTTGGAGCCAGTATGCTGTCTATTGTTGTGGCATGTGTGGTATTTATCCTGCTGGGCTCAGGGGAGGCACAGGATGCCGCACAATCTCAGGAGCAGAGCCAGAGTCAGGTTCAAGAACAGGATAGCTCTGCCACCCCATGGAGGCAGGTAATACAGTGGGAAAACAATGGGCAGGTGTTTAGCTTGCTGAATAGTGGAGCTGAATATGTTCCGGCCGGAGCTGGGGCCCAGGAAAGAGGTCCCAGGGTGGTAGTGGCTGATACTCGTCCACGCTCTTCACAAAGACCTCAGGGAGGAAATGTCCGCCGACAGGCTCCATCAAGGGGATATTCAGAGACTGTTCGCGGGCGGGCCAGGCATCCTTTCGGGTTTGGGCAAGTGCCTGATAACTGGAGACAAACCACAAGCAACGGAGGTGCTACCCGGTTTCAGGGATCCTCAAGTAGTCGCCTCCGTCCATCTACGGGATCTTCATCATCATCATCATCTTCATCATTTTCCTCATCTTCTTATAATGTACAAGCTTACCCACAGTACCAGTTTCCGCAACAACCCCCAATCCAACCTTTTGACCCCAATTTTGCAGACGGACCAGCCAGGAGCTTTGAACCACCTTTTCAGCCGGTAGGAGGTGGAGTGTTTGGTGGTGCAGGGTATGGGACTGGACAGGGCTATACTGGAGGTGTACATGGAGTGGGTTCGGGCCCAGTGCTTCCAGGCTCCCCATCTGACTTTGCTGAAAATGGCTACTATTACTATCAGTCTTTAGGTTACGGACCCAACCCCGCGGCCCCTCCACGTGCCGCCCAGCCACCCTTCGCAGATGGTCTGGACCGCAGATACACCCACAGCCTCTACAATGAGGATTCTGCTCCCGCCATTCCTGTCCCCGATGCCAACCAGGGCCTTCCCATTGTAGTGGACAGACCAGGAGCTGTCGGTCAACCACAAATCAGGAGTCCCCAGTATGAGCAGTTTCCTCCATTTGGAAGACCCCAATCTCCATTCGTGCAGCCAGTTCCTCAAGGCAGAAATTCTCCAAACTCTGCCCTTGAGAATCCCAGCACAAATGTCGGAAGTGTGTTCCGGCGACAACAAAGAGGTGCAGTACAGTTTATTCTGGTTGTTTATGAAAAAAATGACATTTTTCGTTTAGACAATAGTTCCATTAGATTGGACACATGAGTGGAGTCACAGACAAAACAGATTTCTCCTGATGTGTTTTCTTTCAAAGAAAATCACCAAGCATCTTAAGATTGCATTTTTTAGTAGAAATGTGGTCTCAAGGAAATTGTATTTCCATGGCAAAAAAGAAAGAAAAGAAAAGCTTCCCATGCAAAATCTGTTGCTGTTACACATATGAATTTCAAATATGCAAAACCATCAGGGGAGTAGAAAAGCCACAATACCATTGAACAATCAAGTTTTTCTGATATATTTTTCAATTTAGTTTGAAACGTAAGGTAATCAGAGTGAAACAGCTGCTCACAATTCAGCTTTATTTTGTGATTACAAACAAAGAAAAGAGGATGCAAGGTTCATCTTCTCCCACTAGTCTGGTTATTGGAACCAGGTGTTCAGCAAACCCTGCCAATGTGCAGAGAGCAGACACAAGCACTGCTGTGTTTTTGTAGGGGGAGAGCAGCGCTACAAGAAAGATGACTGGTTCATGAAGTGTGTAGAGTTTTGTAATGGTGGTGACCTCATTGGAGGCTCGTGTCTAAGGGTGTTGGTGGCTAACTCCTGGGCAGGAGAGGTGGGGAGCAAGGGTGGTTGATACAGAACTTTACCCCTCCCTGAGGGGGAGGGAGAGTGTGGAAAGTCCCTGTAACACATGGGGTACATTGCTCCAGCTTCAGGAAATCAAATAAATATTTAGTCAGAGTACTTGGGGGAAGAATGTGGAGTGTGAAAGCATGCAGCATACTAACTTAAGATGTTTATTTGACAAAGCAGGCCATTTATTTGAGTCTTTAAACAAATCACATTTGTCAATGTTCTTGAAATCGAGAAGTTTCCGTTAATTAGAAAAAAGGACAAAAGATTAGAGACTTTTAAAAACATATATACGAGACTTTAGCAAGGTTCTTGAACTATCAGATGCAGGTTTATCATTTTTTAATGCAGTCCCTGTAGAGGATTGTGTGCTTTCCAATCATGACTCATTAGACTGAAAGATGGTGGGAATACAATTCTACCATGCAGAGCAGAGATCTTGCATGTGGTCTGAAGCCTTTGTTCTCTGTAATCATTGCAGTAAAGATTCCGCTATTAAGAGCCGTTGAGAGAAAGACATTTCATTGTGCTGCTTCATTGCATGCCATTATGTTTTTGCAAAGCTGTAATAATTATGGTACTCTATACATTGGCAGTTTTGTTTAGAATTATGTGAAAAGGCAGTATGTATTTTTCAAATCTAATATTGTGTGATATCAGAGGCAGAAAAATTACAAAATAGACTCATACTTTAAAGGAAATATGTTTCAATGAACATGGCTTGTTAGATAACTTAACAAAGGCTTTGTACACAAAGTAGACTTTGTGTGGATATAAAAGAACACAAAAAATTCTTAATGAGTCACCTTTTACAATTGCATTCAGTCCTGAGTACTTGTCGATAAAGCTGACTTGAGTTACAGTTGAAACAGGGAAAAACTCCCAAAAAGCTGTTCCTGCCAAATCAAAATGACAAACTGAGGGCCTCAAACCAGTTGTCTACAAAACAGTGGATAGCATCACAGTCCATCTATTTGAGTACCACTGAGGTACAGCAGTGAGAGCATTGTGTCAAATAAGAGCACCAGAACAGTTCTAATGTGCAGTCTTATTATGGCTCAAAAATGTATATCTAAAATTGGCCCAAAAATATTCCCTTTCAGAATCCTAATTTAATTGCTGAACTTTATTGAACTAATTTGATATTTGATCTCAGTGTTGTAAACCTCCCTAACAAAACCACCATCAGTCAGAAATGATATTAATTATAATGTTATTTGTGATGCCATGAAATGTCATTGAAGATATTTTGTCACCAGACAGCAGCTGATAACAGCCAGTGACCACCAGAAGTGGCTGTAACTTGTGTGCAAGATAAAGTAAACTGGATAGGGAAACTGTTTATGATTTGTTTTCCTTCTTAGAACAAGTTCACAAAATTATAAGCATTCTAATCTGTCCCGAGCTCATAGCCTGAAGCTCAACACAAGTGTTTCTGGAAAGGGAACCCTTGTGTCTCTTATTATGCCAGATGATACGAAAAAGCCTGGCAAGATTCAGTTTCTTTTCTACATGCCCCACTTAGAGTGTAATGCGTGGCTTTGTCACATGCCATTGAGAGCCGACCAGCTTTGGCTTCTGAATACAGTTTATCCCTCAGAGAGAGACCCACTTTCACATTTCAAAAGATTAAAGGGCTGAGAACAAAGCCCTCTGAGGGTGAAGGAAAAAATGGGACTGATAGTGATGCTAGGAAACCTCTGTGTTTCACACTGGTTTACAGTGTTTACATGGTCTGCTCTAAGAGGCCTTCCACTTTCTACCTCTACCTTAAGATGTCAGATTGCATGTTTACACAGTTCCCCCAAAGGGAAAGCCCATATTTAAACTAGCAAGGGGGTAAGGAAGACTCACCTGGGTGTTAGATCCTAACCAAATACATGGTGGGAAATTTCCTATGTGGTTTTCTAAGAAACTTCATAATGGTTAAAAAGAAACAAAAACACAAAATGTTTAATTTTCTGTAAACCATTTACAGTATGTGTATTGTAACTGAACCAAGCATTCTGCTTCACATTTGCAGTTGTAAATTGCCAGTCTACAGGTCAGATTGTTTGCACAGGCTCACTTCCAGATGTGTCTATGTCAGCTAAACAGAGGAGGGTGATAAGCCATGTCAGAGACCCCTGCTTCCATGTCCTTTTCTGGGAATTTTACAGACAGGCTGAAATGCCTGCTATAATGGGGCCTTCAGTAAAAAGAAAATAGAAAAAAATGTTTAACTTTGTCACTTGCTATCGTAATAAATACTAAAAGAATATTAGAAATATAAGTTATATTGCAACGAGCCAATCTGCAACAAGCAAATGAAAATGCAAATGTAGAAACAAACGAACAAAATCAAATTTTAACTTTCCCCTCAGCAGATATCATTAGTCAGATATATAGCTTAATAGCATCATGTAATTTATGATTCTTGTCTTTTGTCTTTTTTTATCATGGCTAAAATTAATATTTAACAGATATCCCTCCCTCATTTCAACAACCAGTGGAGAAAAATGTCTTATTAGAATCTATTGGATGATAATCAGGAATGCAAAGTATTTAGTGGTCGATGGGTCTCCCCAGTTTGACCGAGTCTTGAACTGCAGGTCCAGATGCTCATTCCTTGCCCTTCATATCCGTCACCACCTCCAAATTTCACAGATCACAAAAGATGATGATGAATATGTGAACAAGCAAAACGACAGTGCTGACCTTTGGATCACGTTGGCTGTACCTGAAATCAAATCAGCAGGACTAGATGTGTATTTAGTCAGCTTAATAAACTGCATCTATTTTTAGCTTAATTTACTCTCTTCCTTACATACAGTATGTCATGCTGAGTCAAGTAGTGTGACATTAGATGTGGATCTGAATGACAATGTTGGTTAAGCAGTCTATCCATCCTTTCAGGTTTGCCTGACCTGGTTCCTGACCCAAACTATGTCCAGGCATCCACATACATCCAGCGAGTCCACATGTACTCTCTTCGTTGTGCTGCTGAGGAAAAATGCCTCTCAAGGTAAACTCAAGTCTGGATGTCCTTTACTTATTGATGCATTCTGTCAGGAATATCCTTGATATGTCGGTTTGTGACACAATCAGAACCTCTTTACCACACATTTAAATTCAGTTAGCGTCTCTTAGCATTATTTTCTAATGACAGTGATCTACATCTGCATCGTTGGAGACCTTGAAGTTAGAGCCACGATGGGGAGATTTTGACACATTTGTTTTGTATCTTTTGTTTCCAGTGGCTTAGGTTAGGTTTGGGGTACAAAAAGCCTTTGGTTTTAGGAAACAGAAGTTCAGGCTAGGGCCGTACAGTGTGTACCCCGGCTCTCGCCCACTGACCATTGGTGTAGGCTCCAGTTCCCCACGCAACCCCATTAGGGAATAAGCGGTAACGATAATGGGTGGATCGATGGAAGTTCAGACTAAAATATATGAATGCACAATATTAGCAACAACAAATATAAACATTTATTTGCTGCAACTACTTTGTTCTCCCTGTCACTGTCATTGATCCTAAACCTAACAAATGACTTTTTAATGCATCAATCTCATAATTGATTATAATTAAGAGTCATTGATTTTTTAACTTGGAGAAACAGCAACTGAAAACTGCAGTCAACAAACAATGAAAACAATAATTCAGTAAGAAGTAGGAAGAAAAAATGTGAATGAGAGGGCACACAAATTCAAACTGTATATTGTTCCACATTATGCTCATATATTAGTATTAGTGTTATAATCGATTATTGGAGATCATTAGAGGGAATGGCAATAACTCTGGAGCCTCATGTTTTGAAATCCACGTACATCAATATTAAAACATGTATATATATCTAACAGGAATATTTTTTACTGAGACATCAGCTAAGTTCTAACTCTAATCATGTGTTTTTAATTCCTTAGTGTAAGGCTTTAAAATTTCAATTAAAATATAAAAGTGAAAGCACTATCAAAAATGAGTGTTCCCATATTCATGGTGTCTGACATGGGATACATTAAATTAATACCATCTTCCAGCCACCCTAGAACTTCTAATTCAGGGGTATGTTTAGGTGTACATTCTTGTTCAGTGAGAGGTGGACATGTCAAAGATTAGGCTTGTATAATTTAACCTTTAAGGTGAAACTGAAAGGCTTTTATATTGTGGATCATCACTGCCATTATACGCTCTGCTGTTAGAGTGGGCTGACTCTTTGTAGCATACATTAGCAAAACAATAATAATTCTAACAAAAGAATCCAAGTTCCTGAAAGGCAGCCCCGGGCAGCATTCGCAAAATTATTTCACATTTTTAAAAAACTTTTATCCTTGGAGTAGTTTTTCAGTTATTTCAAATTTCAAATCGAAAACATAAGAAACATTGACCAAGAGAATAATTACAGTAAACTAAATCCTGGCCAACTACAGTGACACATACTGTTCCAAGTTTAATGTCTCAGACCTTGGGCTCAGAGTATCCTGTGAGTATCCTCTGAGCCTGAGGCCTCGGTCCTTTGACTTTCTCTCCACTGAATAGATTACTAAAATGATGGAAGTGTGTTGTCCCTGTGGCCGCTATATTTGCCCTCTTCCCATCACGAGTGCACCCATCCCTCAAAGTCCCTTCATATCCTGCCTGTGTTTGCAGCAATCACCCACAGATGGGCTGTTGTAATTTGCTATACACTCCAATGTCAACAACAGTAACAAGATGAATGGCTTAGATGGTCAGTGGTACTGAACTCGGGGTTATACCTTCGTTTTCTCACAAAAAAAAAAAAAAAACCGAATCATGCAACTGAGTGTGTTCCTCACTTTCTTCCACCCCCCCATGTTGAAAGAGTGTGTTTGAAAAGAGGACTGTAATCTCTAAAATGAATTATTTAGCAGATACACTTTCTACTTCTACTATTTCCCCCCCTTTCGTCTTACATATGAGAAACAGACGTGCCAACATTCTTTGAAACGGCCAGTTGGACATGATCCCTCATCTTCTTTTTTTGTCTCCATGAATGTGTCCATCATTCAGCTCTGCCTACAGCGCTGACGCCAGTGACTATGATGTAAGGGTCCTGCTACGATTCCCACAGAGAGTGAAGAATCGGGGCACGGCAGATTTCATGCCTAACAGGCCGCGTCATACCTGGGAATGGCACAGCTGTCATCAGTAAGTTGTTCTTACATATAAGATTCCTATCAGATTCAATCCCTTCACCTATATATTTTCTGTATTCTGCTTGTTGGCAGAAATGTCCATAAAAGTTTTTTTAAGCTGCATTTTGTGCTATTACTAAAAAATTCGAGGTTATTCAGGTTACAAAATGAACAGACGGTTATAGTCTGGTTTTTATGATTTGTGTTGTCAGATATTTTTGACTTAAACTGAGTTAAATATGAACTTTTATGCTATGACAAATACATTATTACAGAACTGAATCATGGCTGATGATCTTTACCCATATCACACCTCTCCCTTTATACCACTGGGCATTTGAAATGATGTAGTAGAGTAACCTTTTTCTTTAAGTAGGGTTACGTAAAGGTACAACCACTGTTTCATCTGACCGGTTTGATAGATCAGGGAAGATTTCTAACAAGAGAGGGAAGCCAAGCTCACAAGGGTTCCACAGATGGGTAGATTCTCTCCAAATGAAACGAGTCAAACTTCAAAACTATCACTGCAGTCTGAGCTACCACTTGTTATTGGGATTTTTTCGTACTGTTACTTTGCATCACACAGTTAGTTACTCTTTTTTCTCATCTGAGGAGTATCCTTGTTTCATGGTGGCTGTTGAATGTCATCTGCTGCTGATCAGCTGAGTCTGTCAGTTGTTGTTCCAGACGTGTTTCAAAGCTTTCTGCCTGGTACTACTAACATTTGAAAGATGGTGTTTTTTGTTCTTTTTTCCATTTTCTTCTTTTTCTTTCACTGGTGCTAATCAACGGCAGTTCATGATTAAATTCACCAAATGCATTGCATTAAGTGAGAGCAACCTGATTAGCACTCATACCAATAACTACTGCAGTTTAAAGACAGACTGATGTGTTTTAATGAAGACTAAATGCAAAAAGGGTGGAAAAAATCAGGAAAAAAATCCCCATCTGGTTTTGTTCACTCAGAGTACAACCACTTTTTTCTTGTAACTAATGTCCTCACTTGCTCCATCAGTGTTGCCTACAGTTTGTTCCTGAAATCAGACATGGTCGACAGGTTGACAGTGTTCAAAGTGTCTCATTCATTTCTTTCCATGGTCGAAATTTCTTTTTTTTTTGGAGCCGCACCAATGTTTAGCCTGTTCCTGTCCACTAAGGGTCTCACAGGCAAGAGGGCATAAGGACCGGAGTTTTTTGTGCTGATCAGATGATGCTGCATTTTTGCATCACCTGTTGTAAGGGTAGTCCTTCGTCTTTTAGAGTAAAACATTTTCTTGGAGTTTGAATATGCGATAAGAGCCTACACAAGTCTACACTTATGACATGCTAGAGAGAGAGTGTATTCAAGATTCTGACTACAGACACCTTCCATGCTTTTGCTCAAGACTGTTTTTACCTTAAAAACACCTCCATGTGGTGTTTTTTCAACTCAAGTTGTCATGAACGCTACTTTTTTGTGACAGGTAAAAGTGTCAACCAGTGAGAGAAATTCTGTTTGAGTGAAGGGTTGATCGTTTTTTTTCACAGAACAAATGGTGCCAAAATCTCATCCATGGTCAGAAGCCTCTTGTGTTGCTACTCGACCTCCATCCTCCTTATGGAGCCATTTTGCTTTGTTAAACAACATCTGGTCCAATGTGAAAGCTATGGTATTTTCCTTTTACCACTAATAGGAGGGTTATTTTACAAAATGACCTCATGTGCGTTTTTTGAGGGGTATGAACAAAAGACCTATGCAGCAACAGTGCTTGTTCTGCAGATACATTTGGGGAGTAGCTTTGGTAATATAACAGGTGTTACAGTCCAAACTGCATGAACCGCCTTTGACATCATAGGTCTGTAAAAGAAGCCGTATCGGTCCCAAACTGACCACAAAAAAATGAAATACTTATGTTTTCTTGTCACAAAGGGAACAAGCCAAATCTATGGATTACAATCAAGAGCCAAGTTATAGATTCCTTCATGAAATTTTGAAAAAGAGAAGAAAAGAATGGAAGATAAGTGTAAGGTTCTGGTCAATTTTGTACACACTTTTGCTAATTGAGCCTTTTTTAAGTGAACATTTTTTAGTTGATTTGAAAAATGAATGTGAGGTGAGCTAGAACGTTCCAGGGAAAACATGATGAGCGGATTCTGTCAGTGTTTTCATTGTTTCCTGAGTATATATTCAACATAGCTCTGCTTTCTATTTTACTTCCAACAAGCCTGACATCTGATGTGAGATCCAAGCTCTCCTTCACAGTTCTCATCTTGAAGGAATGTCAACTGGCCATTAGGAGATTGCCAGTGTTGTTGCTGCCTGACATCAGTCTACATTTACATGGTGGTTCCCAGAGGCGGAATGCGAAGGCAGTCTTTCCATCTGCTGTGTGATTGGAATGACAAATCAATCTATTTTTCCTGTTGATCTGTAACAACAGATCACACAGCTGCTACAGTATGCTGGCATGCATGGGGGTTACTGGGACTGACATTTAGTTTTAAAGACATTTCTACATCTCAGATTATTAAAATAAACTTTTCTGCCCTACATTTCTGTCAAATAAGCAGTGTAGTTTTCATTGTACTCATTTTCTATCTTTTGCACTTGAGTATGAAAACAAAGGAAGGGAGTGGTGTCCTCCTGGGAACTATGGGCTATGAAACATTGGAAGTCTGTATTGGTTTTATTCATAAAAATGTGGAAAGGGGATCCATATAGAAATCCTACTTCACGGGAGTCCCTGTGGAAAGCATGCAATTTTGCTAAGTGTTTGTTTTTTTTTTTACATAAAATTGCAAGAGTTGTTCATCTTTAGCTTCATTCAGCTTATGACTGATACCTTCTGTGGTCATGCTGTTTAGACAGGTGCTTGGACATATAACATGCACATTCCTAAAAGCATTTGTCAGACTACTGCAAAACATGTCTCAAACAACCTACAGCAGATGCTTTTGTTTTATGAGATCACAGAAACACACAGTGTTGTTTGTTACAACACAAGTGGAAAATGACTCACAATTTTCATGAAAGATTGGAATGCTTTTTACATTACCTTAGTCTTCCAACACCACATTTTCTGTAGCTGACATAGTCAGCGAGGGGATCCATGATTTCAAGGAAGCAGGGAACCCTTCCAGGCATTATGTCATCCATTTCTTGCTATCCAAAGTTTTCTCTTTTTTTTTAACCAACACACACGTATGCACATATGTTGATAATCATCTCAAGACAACCATTCACATAAATTTCAGTTTCAGGAACACAAACAAAGACTGCATTCTACTCCAAGCACACAACTACACAAACTTGTAACTTCCAGTAAACAAGCTGGCAAACAGAGGCAGTCATAAATATTTCTATGTCATCAAGGACAAGAAGTTAGTCACATAGATGCCTAGAGTTACAGTAAAGAGATTGTTTAGCCTCAGATAATGTCAGACAAAATTCTATCTGAATCAGGTTTGTAATTGGTTTCCCCTCGAACAGAACAAATGAGTCCTTGAATGGTCACTTGTTCCATCAGTGGAAAGTACCCACTTTCTCCTCCAAGTTATCCGTCAATATTTTAATAAGTGTTCCAGTAAAAGCTGTTTCAATGTTGAAGCATGGGTCATAAAGTAAGGCAAAGAGGCAATATTTGTACAATCTGAGTTAGTCTCACTGTAAATGATCCAAAGCTTACCTCACCCATTACAACCAAAGTCAACAATTGTGTATACAGTGCAGAGTGAGTACAGAATTTAGAAACGATGAGGAAAGCCAGAAGTGTTACTACTGTTAATGGCGCTAAAGTCCCCAATAACATACTCATGTTGCCTTACTGCATCCAAATGGAAGCTTTTGTTCTTTTGTTTTCAGGTGGAAAATAATATTTTGGGCAAATCCGAGACGCCAGAGTACAACCATTTTGATTATTAGGACAGTCGTTGTGCTATTCCACAGAATTCTGTGACCTTGATCTTGTACAAATCATTCCAGTTTAAAAATGTCAAATTTGGAAAGATTTGAAAAAAAATGCAGATTCAACTAAAGATTAATAAAGTTAACTGATGAAGTTCTTATTTTATTGTAAAAGTAGCCTCAGGTTAGATATTAAGTTTCACATGAATATATTCCAATAGTTACCTATGACTTAGAGATTAACCCTTTTTGAAAATGAATACAATCTGTTATGTTATAGAACATAAACCATTATTAAACTGTCTCCTTTCACCATACAAATACTTCAGCATTTCTTTCTAAAATCCACCCTGAGAAGGGAAGATGGAGATGAGTCACTTATCCTTCAAGTGATTGGTATCCTTTACTTTCTTCTAACCTGGTACTGTGGAGCTCAACTCTGATATGGACATGGAATAATTATGAATGAGGAAAGCAAACTGAGACATAAATAAATGTGTTTTAAGTGCAATGTTTTTCATTTATTCCTTTTTAGTCTTAACAACTCTATCGGCGCATCAGCTTTACATAAACATAAAAAGAGCTGAAATTACCAGGAAAATGAACTTTTCCTCATCGCGCTGAAATTATGTTGTCAGCTTTTTCGATGCAATTATTCACTTACAAGCGTGAACCATAATTATGAGCAGGCATGTAGGTTTGTAGAAGTGAAAAGCATCTCTATGGGTTACATACATGGATACGAACCAAGAGTCACTCAGTGGTTCATATTCTGGTTCAGTTAGGCTCATCACTGGCTTTGTGTATCCAGGCTTTCCTAAGCTGCCACAGCTGTGCAAACACACACTACAGCAAGCACACAAACGTGCTGAGCCATACCAACCTATTCAGAGATGCACATTCTGATGTGTGAACACACAAATGCCCGCAAAATCGCTCCCACACAAACAGCTCTGATCTCGCTGATGGTACAATCTAATTAACAACATTCATACATCATTAGGGTGTTATTTCGTTGCCTCAGCAAACCTTTATTGTTGCACTTAATTAGTATCCATTATCCACTGATGATTCATGATGTGTTCAGTCAAGGTGCAACATCACTGTCGAAAATGTTAACAGCTGAGGTCAACAGGTTTAATACACACACAGTGATTTAAGTGCTTGTCTTCAAAGTCAAAATGGAACAGATTTGATTTAAGGTAGATGGCCGTAACTTTTCAACGGCGCCTTAACAGTGTTCATAAAGTGACAATAACTGCTTTAAGACACAACATAGCAGAACTCATTGGACTAAGTGTTAACAATAGATGTTTTACTGTAATTTCATCCTGTGTTTTGTGCTTGTCCCGACAGGCATTACCACAGTATGGATGAGTTCAGTCATTATGATTTACTGGAGGTCAGCACTGGCCGTAAAGTGGCAGAGGGACACAAGGCCAGCTTCTGTCTGGAGGACACCACCTGTGATTTTGGTCACCTGAAGCGTTATGCCTGCACCTCTCACACTCAGGTAATACAGCGAACAGAAAATGATGGGAAATTTCATGATCCGTATACCTATAACCATTTGCTGCAGTTTTAACATTATGAAACTCCAAAAGTTATGTTCCTCTCTGCCAACTGTTTATAGTTTATTGCATGATCATGTATTGTCTTTTGACCTTTTTTTTTACCTTGAACATTTACTGATCGGTAATGCTTACCAACTCTCCCCATTCTTTCATTCCTTGAGGGTCTAAGCCCGGGCTGTTACGACACGTACAATGCTGATATCGACTGCCAGTGGATCGATATCACTGACATCAAACCGGGAAACTACATACTAAAGGTGAGGGTGAAGTGAGATTCTGGTGTGGGTGGAAATGAAAAGTTTGCCGACAGAGTTTGGCCACATTTAATAGAAATATAAGAGAGGTCAAGGCCACCGTATCGCATTGATCCATGTCATTAAGTTTTCAGGTTTATCTAATAAATTGAGTTTCTCAGTGCCTCTGGTTTCACATTCATTATGTTGTCTATTTTCATGCATCATTTATTCAATACTGAAACGCAGAGCTTTTTCTCCAGCTCCAGGTTAACCCCAAGTTCTTGGTGCTGGAGTCAGACTTTACCAACAATGTGGTCAGGTGTAATGTTCACTACACAGGACGCGCTGTTACTACAAACAACTGCAAGATAGCACAGTAAGTATGACCGAAATATTTATTTCAACCACATATTTTCAAGCTGAATTTGTATTTTTTTTATTGCATGTGATTGGAGTGAGGACCAAAATACTTCTGTCATTAATTTTGAGTCATACTCTGCCTAATGACAGCGTGTTGGCTAAATGCAGTTATCTGAAGAGCTTCCTAGTATTTTGAGAAAGTTACTGGACTTAATGGGTTCCTATCTGAAATGTTTGATGATTTCACGATTGATGTTCTCATACTCTTCGAAAGATTAATAGCTTTTTAAACTTTGATATTTTCGCTCAAAGGGAGATGTAAGGCTCTTAAAATTTCAGATAGCACTATCAGTAAGTCTGTGAAATACTATCCTAACCTGTTGAAAAGAGTTTTTATTTGATTTTATGAGTTTCATGTTTAAGGTTTGTAATCGTGAACATTTTAAAGATGACAGCCAGATGTAAGAGCTGGTACTTTAACTATGTGTTTGAAAAAAAGCTGAAATAAGTATCACAATGAGGTGCTTAGATACCTGTCACCATAAACTAAGCCATGTGTGAAGGATTCTATTTTGTATTTTTCTAAAATTTTCTAGTCTCAAATGACATTTTTTGTCTTTTAATGCCTTCTATGCCATAAGGAGTGTATGTATTATGAAACAAAAAAGCTCTGCGGATAACCACAGTATTAACTGAGGTAAATATTTTCAATATGTCTGATCGAGACATTTTTATTTCACAAAGCTAAAGGTGCAACTCATGGAATTACCAAAGCAGTCAGTTTATACTGTAATGCTTTTCAAATCATTACTTTTAAACTTGTTGGACAAATTTAAGATAAGGACTCGATTTCTCCACTGGGCCATTGACCATGGTTTAGTTAAGTTAGTTATATATATCTAGTTATAGCCATAGCATAGGAAAAAAAGGAAAAAATATGGAACTGATAAAATGAGAAGAGAGAAGGTTTCTGAGCTACAAATAGAATTGAAAGAACATAATTGTGTTAAGTGTCAGAGCCCTTATATGAACAGAAATATAATTTGATAATTGTTTCAATTTGACATCAAACCAAGGCTCTTTTTAAGGGCTTTTCTCTTTGTGGAACTCCTTCCACAATCTACACAATGGAAGTAATCCATTATTTTAAATGAAAACGCATGTGAACTGGATCAAGTAGTAGATCAACAAACAAAAATCATAAACCTATGACTCATCACAAGGTGTCTGCTATTATTTGCCAGATATATTTTAAATCAGTTACTGTAGAGCAGCAGAGTATCTAACAAAAGTGCTTTTTTTCCTCTGCCTTTACAGGTCTTGATCTGGCACTGGAAGACTGCCACATTCGAGTGACCCTGATCGCTATTCCAATGAAATGTGAATGGAATCCATTTGTTGTTGGTTCATTGTTAGTGTTGTTTGTCTCTACTTTTTTGTGCTGTTTTGGGATTCTGGACTTAAAACTAACAAGAGTTCAGCTGACAGTTATGTTGGTTTAAAGTAAACATGCACACATTTAAACAGTTTCATAATGCGTTGTGCATGGCATAATCGCAAAAGGAACTCTTATGCCCTGCATTTTAGGTTGCATTATTCTCCCATATTTCTCATGTTCCAGCTCAACTAGTCTGATTTAGTTTCCAGTGCGCATCACTGACCTTTCAAAGAGATGTTTACTGTATGTCCATACAGATGAATCTGAGTTCAGCTGTAAAGTAACAAGTAAAATTAGGGAGAAAATCCTGCTTTCACCCGTGCTGTGTGGGAACAGATAGATATGCCCAGTGACTCAGAAGAACGATAATGTGTCCATTTATGTTTCTCTTTGTCTCTCTTTACCACCTCGGCGGGTCAGGCTAGGATACTGTCATTCTCTGGGCACATCAGGTTTAATTTTCTGTTAACAGCAAGTCGAACACAGCAGGTTATTTTTGCATTTGTCAATATCAAATTAGTAAGTCACCAAAAAAGACAGACGTTCAGTACTTGCATTGTGTCCCCCTTCTTTCCTTCTTATTTCAGTATAACAGGAACAGGAAACTCAACTGGCAGAAAACTGTGCTTTCGAGAAGACAAGACTCACAGTATTTACAGCATCTTGCAGTCTCTTGTTCAGCTAACAACACTGGTCAGATAGCACATATGTCATCTATGCTTTTTAAAGAATGTTTATACAAATATTCCACTGATGCATGACTTTATCTATTTCTCTTATTTTATTTGTGAAATTCAATCATTTTATGCCTTTTTCTTGATAATCTGAATTATTCCAATGATATAGTGTGGGGAAAACAGCACTGCACAGGCTTTGTTTTTAAATTCAGAGTGTCAGACAGCAGTCTCTTCTACCTCTCCACTTAAGTTAAATGCAGTTTCCAAAATATTTCCCTGCGATAGTTTACCTTCTAAAAATGGAAAGAAATGTATATTAGTTTGAATCTGTACAAGTTTAATCCTGGTTGATTTGGTAGCACCTGCTGTGTGCTGGTACTGCAAGTTCAGAGGGGAAATGAGCAGCACTACTTGAACATACTTTTGCAGAAATACTGTACAATACAGGAGCAAGTGGTAGATCTGTTTACAGCAATCTGAAGTCACGCTGCACTCGAGGGGTTGCCACGCTATGGCTAATCCATTACCATCTGCAAAATTCAAATTTAAAAATGATCTCTACCAAATAAAAAGAAGAATGACAATTGTCTTGTTTTACAGGTGCGTGATTGTAGTTATCCATAACCGTAGACTTTTAAAAAAAAGAAACTTGTATTTCCTATGTGCTTTGCATTATGTTTTGTCAATGGAGCACTGCTAGTTTAAAGCAGCAACATCAAGACTGTTCTGTCTTCAGGCAGTTACTCTGTGTATAGAAAGAGCAAAGCCGATGGTTAGGATGCTAGCAGTGAGATATGATTGCAGACGATAAAGCTGGATTGCATACATGCTTTGTTGCCATACACTGTAAATGTTACAGAAATACAGTTATTTGATCAACTAATTTGTTTGCTCCGATTTGTAAAGAGAAAAGGAGGATGAAAATGCAGCTGGTTCTGAATAAGAGCACTAAAACTTCGCTTGACCACGGGGCAATGGTTTTACAAACACAGTTTCATCACACACTTGACACAGCAAACCCTGCACTGCCATCGGCTGTATTCTTAATCTGAACCGTAGTGTACAGAATAAAATAAATGCCACACAATGAATACAACTTGAAGCCAGGGGTGTAGGCACTGAATGCATTGGTTTCATTTTACAGAGCTTCGAAGTGGGTCTATCTTCTCTATGCAGGTTGTTATAGTTTACCTTATATTCATGTGGAGACTATTTCAGGTAACCATGTAAAAGCACCCCACAACTAACAAGCAGTGATTATACAGGAAGCTCTATTTGCCAAGTTAAGACAGGTGCACCATCATTTTGAGCGTTCACGACTCTTTGCACCAGTGTTTCATGCACAGTACCATTTCAGCATAATTTTTGAGCATGCAGAGTATCTCAACTGGGTAGAAGTTAGCTAACATCTTAAATAAGACCCTTAGAACATGTGTTTCTATTGTAGGACTGTAACCACAGTAACACAGATAATTGTGGTTAGTGAATTTTCAAACACCTTCATTAACTTTCCCCACAACAAAAATCCCATTTCCTTTCAGTTTTTTCCATTACTCAAACCGCTGTTTCACTTTTTTTTTTTCAACTCGGGTCAAAAGGCAATCTCGAAATGTCCTCTTGTATTCAAGGTTGTCATTCATATAGATGCTATCGCCACCTGCTGTCACAGCAGGGCTATTTCAGCCTTGAGTAAGTGTCTGTTCTCCTTTCCTGATGGAAAATATTGATCAAATATACTATGAAGATGTTTGTGTGGTCAAGGCTTAAAAAAGAGCAAAGCAGCTTAAAAAAAAAGTTTAGATGAAAATCAATTTAACCATAAGATTGAACAAATCCTTTAATAAAAGATGGCTACGAAAAAAAGAGAGAAGGTCATACAAATTTAGGAAAGTCAGTTTGAGTGATAAGGGACAGAGATAGAAGACAGATCTCTGCTGTCTTGTAGTTGTAGCAGGTTGTACATTAGCAACCTCCAGTTACCTCAGAGTTAGGATATTTTGCATTAAGAGGTCAAAGACACAAATTCACATATTTGTCCTTATTAAAAGTATAACAGAAAAAGCAAAGGCTCTGAGGGAAAAGATAAATAACTTTTTGGAAAACAGGTGAAGAACTGTGAGGTGGCCCTAGTAAGTTACTAACGTTAGCTTATGATTGCTTTTAAGGTTCTGTCATGTTTGCCTTTAAATATAAAAAAACAAGAAATTTCTTTATGTGTAGACTAGTAAATGGAGGCCAAAAATCAACCCGATTCCAAACAAGTACTGAGCTGGCTATACATCATGTTACGCACATTCTAGCAAAGCTATATTTTACTTTGACTGAGACATTGGCACCGAAGAAGCAGCTTAAATAAAGGGAAAACTCTTGAATTAGTAAAGAAGACTTAATGGCATACAGTTCCCATCAATGTCAAACTGGATACCACGCAGCCCCTGCTCATCCACTCGTGTCCTGACAGGCTGCCATGGATGGAGACAATGATACAGCTGCAAAAATGAAACTGCTATCAGCTATCAGTCTCATGCAATTCAGGCTTCCACATCCCATTTGGGACCCCATCAAATTTCTGGGTAGATTATTCTCCTGTCCAAATTGAGCGTCACAAATGACTGTGTTTTTGACACAGATATGTTTGGTGAGTCCTTCACCACAGCATGAACTGCCGTGATAGTCTGAACATTAGACCCCCTGTTCAAACAAGAAATAGCCTTAAGCAGTTATGAATGCATACATTTCAACTCCTACTTAAATTTGACAAAAGCAAGGAAACCAAACCAAACTCTTAATTTAACCAAACAGCCGTTTAAATCCATAAAGTCAACAACCATGCTCTGGGATTTGGAGTGGCCTGAGCAACCGTCAGTATGTAATAGCTTTCATACTAAAATACTTTGGATGTGGAAGACTTAAGCATGTTACATAAATATTCTGTTACTTGGAACGACAGCACAGAAGTCTTTTACAGTTTTGCAGACTCTTATAAAAATACATTTACATATTTGTCTGCCAAATGGAATATAACAATCTGTGCCTGACATATTTTACTAGGCAGTCTTTGAGTCTGCATCTGTACAGGATGTGTATTGAGCGAGTTGATCCAAAATAAATGTTGTTTGACAGCTGTGACATGTCACTGGAATAATTCCCATCACAAAAGATTAGGTGTGATATGTTTAAAGCACTAAGGCTTTTCTCTGATCGCTATGACGTTCAGCATATTTCAGGTTTGGATGCAAATCTGACCTTTGTAAATGGGAAAAGAATAAAAAAAGAGCTTGAGGTTATGCCGAATGGTGGATGGTGAAATAGAACATAGTAAGTACAGAGGTTTTATTTATGGCAAATACATTGTATTTTGAATGCATTTAAGAGAATCAGCTTTGTGGCTTTCATTTGTGAAATATATCACAAATACTTCTTTAGGAATTGTATGGCCCCTGCAGGAACTAGTTTGTGAATTGTTGTTTTGATATGTACTTCTCACTCTAATATTGTGTTAGCAAAACCTCAACCCCCCTTGATGCAACTTCCTCTTTGCTTAGGCTGTTCACACAAAATCAATCTCAGTTTCTTTTCAGTTTCATGAAGCTTGGTAAGGTTTTCATAATGTGGTTGCATGTCTTAGTTTCTTTGCTTCTTTGTTCTACATTTTTTCCTGTAGCTGCTAATCAAATAGTGTTATCTAAATCTTGTATTCGTCTCTGGGCTGTAAGCAGGAACTCTCATTTTCCACCAGGAGCTATTTTTTCTCTCTCGTTTAAAGTTCCTGCTTTATTTCCTTGTGTTGGCAACCACAAGGACATACAGCTGCACATCCCCGAACCTCTGTCTGAGAAAGCTGTCAAACAGATTCATACGCATATTGGATATAGAAACAAACAAATAGACAAAAGCGATTTTTCCAAATGTGTAAGAGGAAGTTTCCCTAAGCGAATCCAAACATTGTGAGGGTGTTCAGAACGGAACCCAAAAGGTGCACATTCAGTCTCTGAGATGAGGAAAATACACAGCAGACATGATGCTGATACGGGCATGGTTTTAAGAAAGTCGAGGAAGACGAACAGAGAAAGAGGTGTCAGATTCTACAGCAACTATAGGAGTCAGATCCTGCTAATCACCCTCCAGGTTTTGTCCTGATGTTGCTCGTCTTGATCCACAACAAACCCAAAGTGAGATACTGTGTGCATGCTCCACAGGCTCAAACAGTTTAGACTGGAGAGAACATTTGTGAATAGCTGATCTACTGACATTTTGTAATCTCTTTAAATTGCTGTAAACAGGCTAGCACCTGATAAAAGAAATATGTGGCGATACTGTCTGTTAATATCCTTGGAGTGGGGAATAGTTTTCTATATGTCCTGCGGATTAAGTTCTGACATGTGTGGGTAAATCCTTTACACATGTTCATGTTGTGCTTTGGGCACTGGAATGTTTTGTCTGATCGCCGATAAGCAAAAGATCCGTTAGAAGAGCTTTAAGTACCCTCAAGACAAATGTTTCCCTTAACAACAAGCCACATGACTTTACTAGAAAACCTATGTAGAAGTAGGGAGGGATCTGCAGCTGTAAGCTTGCAACCCTTATTGAGGAAACACATCAAGTGCAGTGAAGCAAGACTGATTAGATCTCCCAGCATTCTCAGTGGTGGGACGTCATTTAAAACACCAAACGCCGGCAGGAATGAAAATCATGAGCAAATTGGTGGCAAAGGTTTCTAGATTTTGAATTTACCTATTCATTTCCATATAAGAGTATATATTGTAAATGGCCACCAGCTTGATTGGCTGGCCTTAGTTGATTTTCTGGCTGCACAGTTAATGTTAAAACCTCGAAACTTTTGTAATTTAGTACAATTCTGAAGGTTGGTAATGAAAACTCTGATCTGTCAAACGTTAAGTTATGCTAAAAAGGAAGTTGTGATTTATTTTTTTTAAAAGACCTGACAATCGCATCAGCAATTACTTATTTATTCAATTATCTAATTATTTCATGACTGCATTAGCTCCAGACAAGCCACCAAGGATGATTTATGGTTAAGACACAATTATTTCTTTAATCAAAGTTTAAATCGGGGACACCTTGCCTCCACAATCTGTGTTGACCTTGTGTCAAAATATAGAAATATAGAGCTTATACCCAAAACATATTTATTCATTTTATTAATCTTTTTAAACACAAGCATTATACATTATATTGGCAAGGGGAAGTAACACAATTTATCTTTCTTGATTAGTTGGACTTTCCATGCAATAAAAACATCCATCCATCCATCCATCCATCCATTCTCCTCCGCTTATCCGGGGTCGGGTCGCGGGGGCAGCAGCCGGAGCAGGGAAATCCAGACTTCCCTCTCCCCGGCCACTTCGGCCAGCTCCTCCGGGGGGATCCCGAGGCGTTCCCAGGCCAGCCGGGACACATAGTCCCTCCAGCGGGTCCTGGGTCTTCCTCTGGGCCTTCTCCCGGTGGGACGAGCCCGGAACACCTCCCCAGGGAGGCGACCAGGAGGCATCCTGAACAGATGCCCGAGCCACCTCAACTGGCTCCTCTCCACGTGGAGGAGCAGCGGCTCTACTCCGAGCCCCTCCCGGATGGCCGAGCTTCTCACCCTATCTCTAAGGGAGAGCCCCGCCACCCTGCGGAGGAAACTCATTTCGGCCGCTTGTATCCGCGATCTCGTTCTTTCGGTCACTACCCAAAGCTCGTGACCATAGACGAGGGTGGGAACGTAGATCGACCGATAAATTGAGAGCTTCGCCTTTAGGCTCAGCTCTCTCTTCATCACGACAGACCGGTACAGCGCCCGCATTACTGCAGACGCCGCACCGATCCGCCTATCGATCTCACGCTCCCTACCCCCATTCGCAAACAAGACCCCAAGATACTTGAACTCCTCCACCTGGGGAAGGACGTCCGCTCCGACCCGGAGAAGGCACTCTACCCTTTTCCGGTGAGAGACCATGGTCTCGGACTTGGAGGCACTGATCCTCATCCCAGCCGCTTCGCACTCGGCTGCAAACCGCTCCAGTGAGAGCTGTAGGTCCCGACTTGATGGAGCCAACAGGACCACATCATCTGCAAAAAGCAGAGATGCGACCCTAAGGCCACCAAGACTGACACCCTCAACACCTCGGCTGCGCCTAGAAATCCTGTCCATAAAAGTTATGAACAGGACCGGAGACATAGGGCAACCTTGGCGGAGTCCAACTCCCACCGGAAACGAGTCCGACTTACTACCGGCAATGCGAACCAGACTCTGACTCCGGTCGTACAGGGACCTAACAGCCCGTAACAAGGGGCCAGGTACCCCATACTCCCGGAGCACCCCCCACAGGATACCCCGAGGGACACGGTCGAACGCCTTCTCCAAGTCCACAAAACACATGTGGACTGGTTGAGCGAACTCCCATGCACCCTCTAGGACCCCGCTGAGGGTATAGAGCTGGTCCAGCGTTCCACGGCCAGGACGAAAACCACCCTGCTCCTCCTCGATCCGAGGCTCGACTATCCGACGGACCCTCCTCTCCAGAACCGCTGAATAGACCTTCCCAGGGAGGCTTAAGAGTGTGATCCCCCTATAGTTGGAACACACCCTTCGGTCCCCCTTTTTAAATAGGGGGACCACCACCCCAGTCTGCCAATCCAGCGGGACTGCCCCTGATGTCCACGCGATGTTGCAGAGTCGCGTTAGCCAACGCAGCCCCACAACATCCAAAGCCTTAAGGAACTCCGGCCGGATCTCATCCACCCCCGGGGCCTTGCCACCGCGGAGCTTTTTGACTGCCTCGGTGACTTCAGCCCCGGAGATTAGAGATCCTAACTCCGGATCCCCAGGCTCTGCCCCTCCAACGGAGGACGCGCCAGTGGGATTGAGGAGGTCCTCGAAGTACTCCGCCCACCGACCCACAACGTCACGAGTTGAGGTCAACAGCACACCATCCCCACTGTAAACAGTGTTGGTGGGGCACTGCTTCCCCCCCCTGAGACGCCGGATGGTGGACCAGAATCGCCTCGAGGCCGTACGGAAGTCTTTTTCCATGGCCTCCCCAAACTCCTCCCACGCCCGGGTTTTTGCCTCGGCGACCACCCGAGCCGCACGTCGCTTGGACTGCCGGTACCCATCGGCTGCCTCCGGAGTCCCACAGGCCAAAAAGGCCCGATAGGACTCCTTCTTCAGCCTGACGGCATCCCTCACCGCCGGTGTCCACCAGCGGGTTCGAGGGTTGCCGCCACGACAGGCACCAACAGCCCTGCGACCGCAGCTCTGGGAGGCCGCGTCATTGATGGAGGCGCGGAACACGGCCCACTCGGACTCAATGTCCCCCGCCTCCCCCGGAACGTGTTCGAAGCTCTCCCGGAGGTGGGAGTTAAAGCTCCGCCTAACAGGGGACTCCGCCAGGCGCTCCCAGCAGACCCTCACAACACGTTTGGGCCTCCCGGGTCTCACCGGCATCCTCCCCCGCCATCGGAGCCAACTCACCACCAGGTAGTGGTCGGTGGAAAGCTCCGCCCCCCTCTTGACCCGAGTGTCCAAAACATGCGGCCGCAGATCAGCTGAAACGACAACAAAGTCGATCATTGAACTGCGGCCTAGAGTGTCCTGGTGCCAGGTGCACATATGGACACTCTTATGTTTGAACATGGTGTTCGTTATGGACAATCCGTGCCGAGCACAGAAGTCCAAAAACAGAACACCGCTCGGGTTCAAGCTGGGGGGGCCATTCCTCCCAACCACGCCCCTCCAGGTCCCACTGTCGTTGCCCACGTGAGCGTTGACAAGCAATAAAAACAAACAAAATTAAAAGAAAAGAACCCCTCCACACTCACTGGAAAAGTTGGTTAAAGTGAGACATGGCTAAAGGACAATAGGAACTAAACTGTGATATGACGTTTGCAAAAAGAAAAGGTGTAAGACAAAAAGTTTAATTTCTGCAGAGCCTAATGTGTGGAGAATGTGTGGCACAATATCAAGGCCATAGGTAATTTGTCTTCTGGCTCCAGCTCTGCTTTGCAACCTAATTAAATGAGTAAAAATGTGAATAAACCTTCATTTCCAAAGGGATAAACATTTTGCTGCATGAGATAGGTTTAAGGAAAAGTAGCATCAGAAAGCTTAACAACGGCAGAAAAGAAAATAACAAACAGGGATCGAGAACAGGGCTGAGGACTTTTGAACACCGGGCAAAAAAAGAGAAGAAAAAACCCATCTCGTAATTTACATGCAGCTGCATTTGCTGGCTCATTTAATTTGATAATAGTTCACGCTGCACACACAGCTGACTC